GAAACTGACCAGCGCTGACTACAGGAAGCCCGAGGCAGAGTTGCTCTGCCCCAGGCTTCCTGGAATCAGCTGCTGATCAGTTTCAGCCGCAGCTGACTTGGGGGTGCCTGGGGTTCTTAAGTTGAATCTGTATGTAAGTCAGAACTGGCGATCAGTTTTAGCAGCGGCTGAATCTGGACGCCAGTTCCGACTTACATACAGATTCAACTTAAGAACAAACCTACAGTCCCTATCTTGTACGTAACCCGGGGACTGCCTGTAATTGAATTGTGCTCCCCGCTGTCAACTTTTTCTGGCCAAGCAAACGCTTTCATAGGTAGGGGTTCCTCGGGATATGAAAAATTATTTTAGGGGTTCCTCCATGGGAAAAAGGTTGAGAATCACTGCCCTATGTTACCTGCAGCCCTATCATGTAGCTGCTCACTTTGTTTCCTTTGTTGCTGCCTTTCTATTGTATTTTCCCCACAAACTTAGATCAGCCCCTCCCCCCCCTTTTCCAGTATATCCTCTCTACTCTTCCTTCCTAACTTTTCCTGACCAGTAGCCCTGCCAGCATTCCCTTTTCTGAACCCGTGTCCCATGTGGCATCATCATCGGCCTTCAGGTCCAAAATGGTAGCCCGTACCTAGGTGGCTACTCTCACTCAAGGCTGTGTGTGTAATGAGCACAGGGCTCTCAGGCCCATGTATTAAAAAGAGGCCACTGAATTTTGGGGTGTCCTGTTGGAGACACTCATTTTTAGAGAAGATAAATTAGCCACAGAGCCAACCGAAGGCGAAGGAAAAAGCCTCCGCTCCTCTGAAAATCTGGTCTTCAGTGCCTCAGTTTTGACACCCCAAATTACAAGCCATGGTTGAATACATGGGCCTGGCCCTTTTCCCTTCTGCTTTGATGACCTGGTTACTCTTGGGACAATTAAAAATCCAGCAGGAAAAACATAAAATGTACAATATTTTCAAATTCTGCGTACTGCACTTGTCAGAATAACGCAATATAATCGCAGCGGTTTCAGTTATTTTTGGTCATTTTTATTTCACCAGACCTGTCGGCAGCTACATCTGTCACCATACAGACCACAAAAAAGATTCAGAAAATGATATTTGACAAATAGATTCCTCACTAGGCATATTAATACAGAACTCCGAAGAATTCATTTCAACTATAATACAGAACCATGTTTCCCGCAGCCTCCAGAAACAGTGCAAAGGCTGGGGGTGGGGGCAGTTAGGGATAACAGAGGAGCCGAGGGAGAGGGAAGTAACTGCTGGGAAGGAGTCTGGGTGTGAACTTGGAGCATTGTTGTGTGTGGGAGGAAAAATATGGAACAGGTTTTTTTGAGGATGGGGAGGAATGGGGAGGAAGCCACCCTCATGCAGACCCTGGCTAACTCCTAGACTATCCCATTTAGCTAGGTACATCTGCTCCATCCCCCAATTCCCTTGTGGCCCTGCACCCCTTCTCCCTCTGTCCATGTGTCCCTGCACCCCTTGTGCCTCTACTCCCATTCAACCCCTGCCCCAGTCTGTCCTCCTCCCTTTTTCAGCCCCTGTCTTACCCCTCTACAGCCCCGCGCCGCACAGTCTGTGTCCACTTAGCTCCTGTCTCCTTAACTGGCCTGACAGGCGCTGTGAAGAAGGCAGACTCTGCCTCTTTCTCTCCCCCCGGGGATGCTGTAAGTGGCTGCTGTGTTCTGTCACCACAGCATTGTCTGGTGGGCAAAAGAGGGAAGTGCAGTCACTTTTCAGCAGAAGCTTTTTTTCTGAGCAAACAAATGAAAAATACGTGCAGCTCATTAATTATGCACACACGCAGTAGTGCAGAATCCCCCCACTGAGAAATGATAATGTTGCCCATGCAAAATGCAGGATGAATAGATTATCCTCTGCTCCTCTTCTTGATTTGCTTTAAACATGACTCCTCTTCTTTACTCTAGTGTGACTGGGTGAATGATTACCACCGGACATGCAGGGAAGTGATTGGGGAAGAAATGAAGAGC